GCCGTAGCAGGGGGATTGTGTGATCCCTGTAACCAGCCCAGTCAGCGATCTGGCTGCTGCATTTTGGAGTCGCTGAAGTTTCCTGACACTTTCCACAGACAGCCCTACATAGAACCATTTACATGGAATTACAAGCTTCCAGAATTCCCAAATCTATGCCCCTGGTATTGGGGATAAAATACTAGGTTCCTGTTCTCAGAACCCAGGTTTGGCTCTCAGGCATTGCAGTGACATTTCACGAGCTAGTGTGGTGTCATGGATAGAATGTCTAGGATTCAAGAAATCATGATTCTAACGTTGGCTTGGCCTTGGAAACTCCTTAAACATCTCACACACCTTGAAAACTGGTCAAAGTTGCCATAAGTCAGAAATGACTATGGCATCCCCAAGCCATTGGAGACACTCATCTTGGCTTGGATGTGTAGTCTACAAAAGTGAGTATTCCTATGTCTGGTGTGTTCCTGATCTGATTGGTTTACTCTCTTTGTAGGGCAGCTCGATCAAGACATCCACAACAAGTGGATCTGTGGCCCCGACACTGGTGGGCCATCATGCTGACAGTGAAGCGGATGCCAGTATTGCAGGTAGATGTTCCTATGGGTGTGTCTTTCTGGAACAGGAGAGGTGTCTTACCGCTTCGTCAACGAGCTACACCTGCATGTGCCTACGCTCTCCACCCTGTCTCACCTCCAAACCCAGACCTGGGGACCAGAAAAATTCTGCATTTACTTTCTTCCAAATCTGAATCTGTTAAAATCGTTTGCATCCCAAATAAGGTGAAATGAACAGATTTTGGTAAATTCTTCACAAGCGAACTGAACTGAAATTCGGTGCAATTAGCACTTGTCAAATTCCATTGCTACACCTCTGGGGAGGGTTTACCATATTTTGTATTTGAATGCCATGTGACTTGAATTAAGGAGGTTTCTGAACAATTCAGTGCTAGGCGGTGGATTGCACATGGATCCAGAATCAGTTGCTTAAGAATTAACCGCTCAAAGCTCTAGGACTGGATTGATAGGTAATCAGATTCAGTTTCTTCTGATCCAGGTTTTCTTTTTTTAAAAAAAAAAAAAAACACTAATCTTAACTGCTTTACATTCCGCACATTAAGAATTTTGCTAATATTGCTATTTAATTTTTTTTCTTTTTAATTTAATTTTTATTTTGTAAAATATCTAATTGCAGGTACGTGTGCCTTTTCTTTCTCTCTTTCATCCAGTTCTCACCCAAATCAGAGTGTTATAACTGGACACTTACCTTGAAAAAGTTGTGATACCTTTCTTTTACCTTTATTGCTGAAACTTAAAAATTTACAAGTAAAAAAAAAAGTTACTTTTGGGGCCGGCAACTCTCAAATCTGGGAACTGCATTCCCGGAAACAGAGGAGTTTTTCTAAGCTTTGACCTGGAGCCACATGAGATCTTAACTCTCAGTGCTTCTGCAAAAGGTTGGTTCCTGAAGTGGGATTCTTTTGTCACTGCAGACCCCCAAAACCCACCCCATTGGTTTGGCCCTCCGCAGCTCCATGAGTATGAAGAAGTGAGGGTGCCAAGAAGATATGAGGAATTGGGTCCTCTGTATGAGATGTGGTGTCCTAAGAGGGAACCATGGATTCATGAGTACGCAGTGAGTATCCATGAAAAAGTTCACTAGTATTGGTGGTGGAGGAAAACCAATCATTTTTACCTCCCCTTCCAAACTGAATCCCCTCGTATATTTCATGGAACCCATCTTTGCTGGATTCTTCCTCATTTACGAACCTATATTTAAATACATGATGAGGACAGCCCAGAAATTCATCTAGCATACCCAGCATTGCCTCTTTTAATGGAGAATGGCCCTCTCCAGGATGCTGGAGACCTTACATCCTGAACACCTCACCGGTCTGACTTTTCTGTAGTTAATTCAGGTGCCAACAATGGTCAGAAAGGGGGTCTTCTGCAAGCAGAGCATCTTCTCCATCTTCATGGTGGAAAACCAGTAGCAGGTCACTACTAGTGTAAACCCATTGAATCAATGGAACTTGCATAGCGATAGACTCCCAAATCTCCACCAGTCCAATAGGCCTACTCCAGTTACCACTCGATACTGGATTTCTTACTTCTCCTTAGTGAGGTTGCTTTACAAAGACTTTGGTCCTGAGAGGAGCAACAGCTGGCTGCTCTACTTAGATAACTTGGAAAAAGTTACTTTTAAGTTCCAGTGCCCAAAATTCTTCTGTGTTCAAGTAAAGGAGCTGATCAAGGTGTTGTACCATTTGCCACAAATGGGTGGGTGGGAATTGCCTCCACAACTTTGGATAGCTTCTTTACTGTTTGGACTAAAACCAAGAGAGGTCAACCAGCCTCCACTGCTTTAGTTTCAAAGGCCTCCTGGGATTTGACCTGGATAGAAGGTGTTCAGAGATAAAGTGCTCCTTCGCAGGGAAGTTTCGTTTAGCAATTGTGGCCATAAGGCATTGACAGCTCCATTCTATTTCAGGGTGGCAAATCTTAAACCCTGGCCCTTTGGTTATTCCCAGATCGCCATGCCTTGTCCCTTAGGACACCATCATTTGGGGGCTTCTCATCCTATACGTGGTACCGCTGTGGGCTAAACCGCAGAAGCCTTTGTGTGCTGCAGGGTCAGAAGACCAGCAGTCGTAAGATCGAATCCACGTGACGGAGTGAGCTCCCGTCGCTTTTTCCCAGCTCCTCACCAACCTAGCAGTTTGAAAGCATGTAAATGCGAGTAGATAAATAGGTACCATCTTGGTGGGAAGGTAAAATGGTGCTCTCTAGTCACACTGGCCACGTGAAAACAGAAAACTGTCTTCGGACAAGCGCTGGCTCTATAGCTTGAAAAACAGGATGATCACTGCCCCCTAGAGTAAAACATGACTGGACTGAAAATGTCAAGGAGAACCTTTACCTTTACATCCTATATACGTTTTTCACTCCTGTGTTTAAAAGTTGAAATGTTTCTCCCATGGCTTTGTTAACGGAGCTAAAGATGTTTAATCTAAATTACGCTGTTAATTTTTACTTCCCCCTTTTGCCATTATCCATGCTCACCCTTGTTCCCCAATTTATCTGAAATTCATCCTTCAGCCTTTGGGGAGAAAGAGCTGCTTCTCTTTTTTCCCATGCTTTGAAATGGCAAGAAATGTTCACCATCCTTTGTTCCTTTGTGTCCAGAATATCTACGAAGAGAGCAGAAGATTGCCCTCCCTGCAGGCGGAGACGAGGCAGATCTATGATCCCGTGGCAGATTATTTGCCCTTGGAAAGGGAGCTGCCTTTTGAAGAGCAAGGGGAACTGGTCTAAGCAAAACTACGGGCAGCGTGTTGGATTTATTTGCCAGGATTTGTTTGTGTCTATAAAGCAATTCACAACTGAGCATCTCCGAGCCCCTTGTGTCTGTGTTCGCCCCTTGTTGACGCAGTGGATTGAACAAGCAGAAAAAGTGCAGTGGGAGGAAGTGAAGGTGGGCGAAAAGGGGAAGCAGACTGGGCTGGCTTTGTGTGGGTGGTTGGGGGGCAATGTAACACCAAGACAGCTGACGTGCTTAAAAAGTGTGCTTTATTTATTGCCACAATTAGCGCACTTCTGTGCCAATAACATATGGGTCAGTCATAAACCCCAGCTTTCCCTTTCTTCTGCTCGAAGATTCCATTTAGCAAAAGACCTGAGATTATCTGTCTTGTTGAAGATACAGCAAGAGGGAAAGCTTTCAGAGTCAAAAGAGAAGAGGAAGGGGGAGGATCACTTTTGCTCCTTAGCATGGCCACATGCCTTCACATCATTCCTGCAGCATTTTGTGGTGGAATAGCGCACTTCTGTGCCAATAACATATGGGTCAGTCATGAACCCCAGCTTTCTTCTGCTCGAAGATTCCATTTAGCACAAGGCCTGAGATTATCTGTCTTGTTGAAGATACAGCAAGAGGGAAAGCTTTCAGAGTCAAAAGAGAAGAGGAAGGGGGAGGATCACTTTTGCTCCTTAGCATGGCCACATGCCTTCACATCATTCCTGCAGCATTTTGTGGTGGAAGAAACTGAACCTGCCAAAATTCTCCTTTTCTCTTCTAAAAAGCCCCAAGATCTGGTTTGGCAGCCTGAGGTTGGAAAGAAGGAAGGCCATACCAGTCAGTTTCTAATGGCAAGTTTGAACAGCAGAAACCGGGGTGCAGAGAGATGATGGGAGCCAATTTGGAAGTAACTCATTACCAATGACAATTCCTTCATGCAATAACGAAGGCATGCCTAAATTACATTGTCATGGTAAATGCACAGAAGGATAACTTCTTTCCACTTGGAGTGTATCTTAATTGCTTTTAATTACTTTATAGTAAAAGGGATCCTGTGGCCTCACTACATGGTCTTTTGTACTTTTTGACTGTCGGCTTCTGGCATTCAGATTTTCTTTTAAATAAGCAACTCTTTTGTTGATGTTTGAATAACAAGAGCCATCAGCCACTTTTTGGGGGTGTCTCTGCTTGTGATCGAGCCGTTCGTAAGTCGAAACCCCACTGTATAGTGAAAGGGATCCTGTGGCCTCACTACATGGTCTTTTGTAACCCAGACTGTCGGCTTCTGGCATTCAGATTTTCTTTTAAATAAGCAACTCTTTTGCTGACGTTTGAATAACAAGAGCCATCAGCCACTTTTTGGGAGTGTCTCTGCTTGTGATGAGTTACTCTTGGGGGCCTTTGCTGAGCACATAATTGTTTTTCAAAAGAAGTTTCCAGGCTGTGGACAAGGCAGCAGAAAAAGTTAAGAGGTTGGTTTCCCACTTTGTGGAAATACATTTGTTGAGAGTAAGGAGGAGCCCAAAGACTCATGGAGGTGGAGAAGGGAAGGGGGGGGAGAGAAAGAGAGAGAGAAAGAAAGGTAAAAAGAGCCACACAGGGCTCTAAATTAAGCCAGAGTCCTGGCTACAGGTTTTCTGGGCACAGATGCTGTGAGAGGGTGCATCGCAGGCCGGAGCCTAATCAACAACAAAAACACGCAGTGTTTATCCCTGCAGCTTAAAACACCGAAGGCCCTCCATCACACTTGATATCAAGCATCAGAGGGGGAGCACTGAAACTGTGCATGTTATTGGCCCCAGGTTGTGTTGGGCGTAATTAATCACATTGCCAGATCCATGTCCTGACAGGGCTCCTCTACCTTTAAAGGGCAACACTCCACTACAATCAGAACTTTAAGACCAGTTTAACTCTTGTCACAAAGAATTGTAAAGAGCTGCCCTTTACCAACAGAGTCAAGGCACAGAAACATCTGCTTCCACTCACTGGAGTAGAACTCCCTGGATTCCTGGAGGAACTGAGGAAACAACAGTTAAACCAGTCAGGTTTTCATGGTGGAGGGACTCTTAAGAAAGAGATAAGGGATGGGTAACGCTTCAAACGTTGTTGTAGATAATCCCTTTCTCTTGCCCAGTCTGGTTGGAGCGTAGAGGACTTTTGCTCCAATAGCACTGGGAGAGCCACAGATTCCCCATCTTTGCATTGTAAGGAAATATTCACTAGCTGCAGCTTAGATAACTCACAAGTTTGACAAAATGGCCTCTTTTCAGACTTCAGCTCCCAGTACTACTCAACCACTATAGGCAGTGGTGAGCTCTGGGAACTGTAGCTTAAAAAAAGTAATGTTTCCGATCTCTGAGATGACTAGGGCACCACAGTTTCCAGGTGATGCATCTGGTGGAGATGTTGCCCTTTCAGATGGCAGAGGAATCCTCTTAGGATCTGGACCTGGCCTCAGTGGGTGGATCAAGATGGAAATGGTCTGAAGGCTGCAACCCTGCCTTCTCAGGGAGGAAGTCCCATTGAACTCAACAGGACTTTCTTCATGAGCAGACACATATAGGATTGTCTCCTGCCTAAGCAAGTTCTCTAGCAAGACCAGTCCCATGCTATTCGATCCAGAGTTTCTACGAACCAATATGGTTCAAGTTCAAAATTCATTTCACAGAAATGATATACATGGCAGGGCAGGGACAGGGGAGGAGAAGTGATGAGCGCGGTCCACTGCCTTGTTAAGCTCTCATGGAGAAGCGAGCCAGCTGAATGGACTTGTGCTCAGATCCTGAGCTGTTTCCTTGCTGATGACGTGGAACAGTGTGGTGGGGATGATGTTCTTCCCATTCTGCCTGGGAGAAGGCCATGATGAAGAGGAAGATGCATCACTTACAAAGAAGCACTGCCAATTATTTCCACTAAACTAAAAAAAGAGTCACTTTTGTTCAACTTTGACTTTTAGAATTGGACCCACAGTTGCTGAAGAATTCTGGGAATTGTAGGTCAAAAGAGTAACTTCTTATTCTCCACATTCGTGACAGAGAATCAGCAAGTCACACCTGCTGATTCTCTGAACCAACCCTTGAACATGTAAAATTTTTGCTAGCATCAGCAAGGAAGCAGCCAGCATATGAGCCTCAAGGCCAATAACTTAGTTAAATACAGCCAGTACAAGACAACAACCCTGTTTTTTAAAAAACAACAACACCAAAAAAAAAACACACCAAAACAATAACATGATGGATGACTTCTTCATCCCTGAGGTGGCTTGAGAAACAAATAGATTCTGCTGCTAATTCCTGGCCAGGAGCATTCACCCATCAAGCTGCCATCAGGGAAGAGAAGGGAGGTAAGCTGGGCCAGGGCCGAGTCTCCGGCTCCTTAGCAAAAGGCGAAGCTGGAAAGGAAAAAAAGGCTATCGTCAACTATAGCTACAGTGACCCATCCTCCTGCAATCCCCTCACCATCCACCCAGAGCTTGAAAAATCCCTGCACTGCTCAGAATATTATCCCCCCCCCCCAGCCAGCATGCCTAATGGCGATTCTGGAATTTGCCCTCTCAAAGAAGCAGCTTTTCAGAGAATTGAGTTCCACTCGTGACTGACCTGCTCTGTTGCTGGTCCAGGAGCCAATAAATGAACCGGCTGTTCGTTTTCCAGGTTCCGGGCACTGGGGTCTGCGCCATGTTGTAGCAACAGATGCACAAGGTGTTCCTGGAAAGGTTGCCCATGTAGACCAGCGGCCATGTGCAGTGCAGTATTCCCATGGGCCTGTAGGCAGAAAGTTGATTCCAATCAGCCTGTGTCTTGGCCAGCTATCCCCTTCTTCTTTGCAACATGGCGCCCCCAAGCATCATCATCATCATCTTAGAACTATAGAGCTGGAAGGGAGCCTATGAATCATCGTGTCCAGCCCCTGTCAAGGAGGCTTAGGGGGGAATCGAACTCTTGACCTCTACAGCTGGTTTACCTAGAGGCTAGACATTAGCCGCTCACACTGGAAAATCCTCTAGGATACTGTGTATTTCTCTCACACCTGAAAACGGTCAATATCTTTTCCCTATATTATAAACTTCTCATTGCAGTTCCATGCATTGAATTACAGTGGTGCCTCGCTTGACGAGGATAATTCATTCCGTTGAAATCGCTGTTAAGCGAAATCGTCAAGCGAAACGAAAAAGCCCATTGAAATGCATTGAAACCAGTTCAATGCGTTCCAATGGGCTAAATACCTCAGCATCAAGCGAAGAAGCTCCATAAGGGCGGCCATTTTCGGTGCCTGTAAAGCGTGGAATCCATCCTAAAACACAACGGGGAGCCATTTTGCACAGTGGGCGGCCATTTTAGAGCCACCGATCAGCTGTTTAAAAATCATCGTCTAGCGAAAAATCGGTTCCCGAAGCAGGGGCCCGATCATTGTCAAGCGAAATTTCCCTATCTAAACATCGTCAAGCTGTTTCGTCGTTTAACGAGATAATCGTTAAGCGAGGCACCACTGTAAATGCTGCCACTACTTGAGAGAGTGTAGTACTATGTGAAAAGCCATTCTCACTTCTGCTACCTAAAGCCAAGAAACCATAGAGCCGCATCTGCTCAATGTCTGTATTTCAGGCTGGTATTGACTCCCCACTGGTGAACAAGCAAGGGGATTTCAAAATACGTAGAGAAGTGGCTCATAGTCATCCCAGTATCTATCACTTGACTCTTCACTTTACGGACACCATATTTCTATGATGTGCTATCAAATTGCTTCCATCTTACAGACACTCCAGGGCAGTTTTCAAGGCATCTAAGAACTTAAGGAGTGGTTTTTCCATTGTCATCCCCTATGAGTTTTTGTAGCTAAATGGGAATTCAAACTCAGATCTCCCGATTCATAGTCCATCACTCTATCCTCTATGTGTTCTGTGTTGTCAAGTTGGAAACCTGTTATAGTGGCCCTAATAGGGCTTTCAAGGTAAGTGAGATATTAAAAGGGTACTTTTACCAGTTCCACTCCCCCAGTGGGTTTCCGTGGCTGAGTGGGGATTCGAACCCCGTTCTCCAAAGTCCTAGTCCATAATTCTATCCACTAAACTACACTGGGAATTCCTATCCAGTCTTCCAAATAGGAAAAAAGAGAGAACCCCCAACAAATCAGTATTTCCAGTCTTGGGTCACAGCACCCCCTAGTGGGGGACATCCAGAAGCATACCTTCATATTGATAAAGCTCTGAACCTTTTGTCCAAGCAGACGGAGGAGAAAATCGATCAAGGGCAAGTTGGCAGCTTGGACGGCCAAGTGCAGGATGGTCTTGTTGCTCTTCAGATCCTAGAAAAGGGGCAGGAGGCAGGAAAGGGAGGCGTTAAACCGGACCAAAGCTTGGCAAAGGCCTTTGATTCGTCTACAACGCCCAGCTCTTTCCCCGTGGCCTGCCCACTCACCTGGCACCTGTAGTTTGCTCCGAGTTGCAAGAGGAGGCGCATGCACTGCAACAGCTCCTGAGACAACGGTTCTGAGCCCTGGGCAGCATTGTGAGCGATGATGGCGCAATGCAGGGGAGTCAGCCCTGTTGGGGAAATGCAGAAGGCAGGGTCAGTGTGGTGGGTCCTGGCTGTGCTCGCCACTGCCTGCACGCTCGGTCTTTCATAGAAGCACAGAATCATGAAGTTGCAAAAAGCCTATGATGTATGGGTCTTGTCTAAACCTCTCTTGGATGTCTCCAGTGTGGGAGCACTCATCTCTTGAGGTATTTGGTTCCATTGCTGTACTGCTCTAACATTTAGGATTTTTCCCCCTGATATTCAACCAAAATCTGGTTTCCTGTAACTTGAGCCCATTTTTGGGTATCCTAGACTCAGGGATGATTGAGAATAGATCCAGCCTCTCCTCTGAACGACAGCCTTTCAAATATTTTGAAATTTCCCCCCCAGTCTTCTTTTCTCAAGACATTCATTTAGCCTTTCCTCATAAGGCTTGGTTTCCAGCCCCCTGATCATCCTTGTCGGCCCCCTCTGAATTTGTTCCAATTTGTTAGCACCTTTCTTGAAGTGTGGTGTCCCAAACTGGACACAGAACTCAAGGTGAGGCCTAACCAGTGCTGAATAGAGGGGGACCAGCACCTCAAGGGATTTGGAAACTGTGTTCTTCTATTAATTAATTCAGCCTAAAAGAGCATTTGCCTTTTTTGCAGCTACACCACGCTGTTGGCTCACATTCAGCTTGTGATCTAAAATGACTCCAAGATCCTTCAAGCTCATAGTATTGCTGAGCCAGCTATCCCACATCTTGTAACTGTTAGGTCTGGTTTCTTTTTCTGAGGTGCAGAACTTTGTACTTATCCCTGATGAATTTTATTTGTTGTTTTCAGCCCAGAGCTCCATCCTATCAAGGTCATTTTGAATTTTGTTTCTGTCTTCCAGGGTATTAGCTATTCTGCCCAATTTTGTGTCATCCACAAATCTCATTAATATTCTTTTCACCCCCTGATCCAGGTCATTAATAAAAACGTGGAAGAGCACTGGGCCCAGGACTGAGCCTTGAGGTACCCCACTTGTTACCTCCTCCCAGTTAGAGAAGGACCCACTAATCATTACCCTCTGAGTATGATTCAGCAGCTGGTTGTGTATCCACCTGACACGTGATATATCCAGACCACACCTAGTTTGCTTGCTAATCAGGATACGATGGGGGCACTTTGTCAAAAGCTTTGCTGAAATCAAGATATATGATGTCTACAGCACTCCCTTTGTCTATCAGGGAGGTTACATGATCAAAAAATATGATCAAATTAGTTTGGCAGGATTTGTTCTTGACAAATCTGTGTTGGCTTTATTTATTACTGTATTGTTTTCTAGGTGCTTGCACAATGACGGCTTAAAGATATGTTCCAGAATTTTGCCTGGGATTGATGTCAGGCAGATTGGCCTGTAGTTCCCAGGTTCCTCTTTTTTGCCCTTTTAAAAGAAAGGGACAACACTGACCTTCCTCCAGTCCTCTGGCACCTCCCCCGTTTCCCATGATTTCAAGAAAATAATGGACAGCGGTTCTGAGAGTTCTTCATCTAGTTTCTTCGAGATTCTTGGATATAGTTCATCTGCTCCTGGATATTTGAAGTCATTTAAGGCAATAGGGTATTCCTTGACTATTTGTTTATCAATCCCCAACTTCAATGCTTCCCCCTCCACTTGCACTTCACATTTCTCTGGGAGGGTCATAGTCTTTTCCCAAAGCCGTCCAGAGTGGTCGACCAGACCAGATGGGCGGGATATAAATCAA